AGCCATTGGGCGATACTACTTGCATCTTGAAGATCGTTGCCCGGTGTTCCGAGTCTTCAGTATAGACTATTCACTTTGCTTCATTTATTATGCACTCGATGACCCTCGTGTGAGAGTGAGTGGAGAACAGGTTACAAAGGCACTTAATGGGCTCATTAACCCCAGAAATAAATATAGCTGTGGTACAGCTCTGTTGATACTTCACTACTGTGGTGCTCATTACTAGACTTGTATTGACCCACAGCGTCGAGCTGAAAAAAAAGCAAAAACTATTGTATTTAGGGGTAATTAGTTTATTAAAGACCCCATTACCGCTTCCTGTGGGCGGGGGGAGGCGGAAAGGTCGGAAAGGTACCGAAATCAGTTCTAGTTGGTTATAGAAGTTTTATACACTTCCTCCGGCTAGTTGAATATTTTTCTCCAGGCCTTCAGTTCCGAGCGCTGAGTATAGGGGACACCGTGTTGCTCTCTCAAACATTGACTTGCGAGATTGAGTTGGCCAGCGGTGGTCCCTGGTGTGTGGTGGTCCCTGGTGTGTGGTGGTCCCTGGTGTGTGTGGTGGTCCCTGGTGCGTGTGGTGGTCCCTGGTGTGTGGTGGTCCCTGGTGTGTGGTGGTCCCTGGTGCGTGTGGTGGTCCCTTGTGTGTATGGTGGTCCCTGGTGTGTGGTGGTCCCTGGAGTGTGGTGGTCCCTGGTGTGTGTGGTGGTCCCTGGTGCGTGTGGTGGTCCCTGGTGTGTGGTGGTCCCTGGTGTGCGGTGGTCCCTGGTGTGTGGTGGTCCCTGGTGTGTGGTGGTCCCTGGTGTGTGGTGGTCCCTGGTGTGTGGTGGTCCCTGGAGTGTGGTGGTCCCTGGTGTGTGGTGGTCCCTGGTGTGTGGTGGTCCCTGGAGTGTGGTGGTCCCTGGTGTGTGGTGGTCCCTGGTGTGTGGTGGTCCCTGGTGTGTGGTGGTCCCTGGAGTGTGTGGTGGTCCCTGGTGTGTGGTGGTCCCTGGTGTGTGGTGGTCCCTGGTGTGTGTGGTGGTCCCTGGTGTGTGGTGGTCCCTGGTGTGTGGTGGTCCCTGGTGTGTGGTGGTCCCTGCCTTAAACCACTCGACCATCAGTGACCGTCAGAGTTTGACAGTCACTGATGGTCGAGTGGTTTAAGGTACCAAGTACTGGTACTTGTGACTCGAAATGACTCGAAATGACGCTCGAAATGACTCGAACCCGGACCGCCAGGTCCGGGTTCGAGTCATTTCTGGCTTGTAGATTTTTCAATTATATATATGTATACATATATTATATATATATATATATATATATATATATATATATATATATATATATATATATATATATATATATATATATATATATATATATACACCAGGAATATCTAAATTACTTTTGGCGGGAATTTGTACATCCATATAAGCTTACTCTCCCTTTTGTTGGCGTCCACGTATCATTTTCCTGCATAAAAGTAACACACTACAAAAGATCTTATTGCTTTCATCTTCATGTTGGTTTAATAATTTAAGATGTCATCTTCGTCTGTGTGTGTGGGCTAAGCGCTGGTATTTCTATTGGGAGCCTCTTAAGGTATACCAGGTAAACTCATACAAGGCTTGAATACCCGGTACTCCTTGACAGTGTATTACATAACTTTTAATCAACCTATATAGCCTACACAACCATGGTGTACCGTTGTGTGTAGGTGAACTCGGGTTTTCACCGACAGGTATACCCGAATTTTTTGTGTATATAGGCCATAATAACCTACCAGAGGTTGATATAGGCCATAATAGATGTCCAGAGGTTGATATAGGCCATAATAACCCACCAGAGGTTGATATAGGCCATAATAACCCACCAGAGGTTGATATAGGCCATAATAACCCTCCAGAGGTTGATATAGGCCATAATAACCCTCCAGAGGTTGATATAGGCCATAATAACCCACCAGAGGTTGATATCATAATAACCCACCAGAGGTTGATATAGGCCATAATAACCCACCAGAGGTTGATATAGGCCATAATAACCCACCAGATCTTAATAACCCACCAGAGTTATATAGCCATAATAACCCACCAGAGGTTGATAGGCCTTAATAACCCACCAGAGGTTGATAGGCCATAATAACCCACCAGAGGTTGATATAGGCCATAATAACCCACCAGAGGTTGATATAGGCCATAATAACCCACCAGAGGTTGATATAGGCCATAATAACCCACCAGAGGTTGATATAGGCCATAATAACCCACCAGAGGTTGATATAGGCCATAATAACCCACCAGAGGTTGATATAGATCTGATAATAACCCACCAGAGGTTGATATAGGCCATAATAACCCACCAGAGGTTGATATAGGCCATAATAACCCACCAGAGGTTGATATAGGCCATAATAACCCACCAGAGGTTGATATAGGCCATAATAACCCACCAGAGGTTGATATAGGCCATAATAACCCACCAGAGGTTGATATAGGCCATAATAACCCACCAGAGGTTGATATAGGCCATAATAACCCACCAGAGGTTGATATAGGCCATAATAACCCACCAGAGGTTGATATAGGCCATAATAACCCACCAGAGGTTGATAGATCTTAATAACCCACCAGAGGCCATAATAACCCACCAGAGGTTGATAGGCCATAATAACCCACCAGAGGTTGATATAGGCCATAATAACCCACCAGAGGTTGATATAGGCCATAATAACCCACCAGAGGTTGATATAGGCCATAATAACCCACCAGAGGTTGATATAGGCCATAATAACCCACCAGAGGTTGATATAGGCCATAATAACCCACCAGAGGTTGATATAGGCCATAATAACCCACCAGAGGTTGATATAGGCCATAATAACCCACCAGAGGTTGATATAGGCCATAATAACCCACCAGAGGTTGATATAGGCCATAATAACCCACCAGAGGTTGATATAGGCCATAATAACCCACCAGAGGTTGATATAGGCCATAATAACCCACCAGAGGTTGATATAGGCCATAATAACCCACCAGAGGTTGATATAGGCCATAATAACCCACCAAAGGTTGATATAGGCCATAATAACCCACCAGAGGTTGATATAGGCCATAATAACCCACCAGAGGTTGATATAGGCCATAATAACCCACCAGAGGTTGATATAGGCCATAATAACCCACCAGAGGTTGATATAGGCCATAATAACCCACCAGAGGTTGTGATAGTCCTTAATAACCCTCCAGACGTTGATATAGGCCATAATAACCCACCAGAGGTTGATATAGGCCATAATAACCCACCAGAGGTTGTTATAGGCCATAATAACCCACCAGAGGTTGATATAGGTAATAATAACCCACCAGAGATTGATATAGGCCATAATAACCCACCAGAGGTTGATATAGGCCATAATAACCCACCAGAGGTTGATATAGGCCATAATAACCCACCAGAGGTTGATATAGGCCATAATAACCCACCAGAGGTTGATATAGGCCATAATAACCCACCAGAGGTTGATATAGGCCATAATAACCCACCAGAGGTTGATATAGGCCATAATAACCCACCAGAGGTTGATATAGGCCATAATAACCCACCAGAGGTTGATATAGGCCATAATAACCCACCAGAGGTTGATATAGGCCATAATAACCCACCAGAGGTTGATATAGGCCATAATAACCCACCAGAGGTTGATATAGGCCATAATAACCCACCAGAGGTTGATATAGGCCATAATAACCCACCAGACGTTGATATAGGCCATAATAACCCACCAGAGGTTGATATAGGCCATAATAACCAACCAGAGGTTGATATAAGTCATAATAACCCACCAGACGTTGATATAGGCCATAATAACCCACCAGAGGTTGATATAGGCCATAATAACCCACCAGAGGTTGATATAGGCCATAATAACCCACCAGAGGTTGATATAGGCCATAATAACCCACCAGAGGTTGATATAGGCCATAATAACCCACCAGAGGTTGATATAGGCCATAATAACCCAGGCCATAACCCACCAGAGGTTGATATAGGCCATAATAACCCACCAGAGTTGATATGCCATAATAACCCACCAGAGGTTGGCCATAATAACCCTCCAGACGTTGATATAGGCCATAATAACCCACCAGAGGTTGATATAGGCCATAATAACCCACCAGAGGTTGTTATAGGCCATAATAACCCACCAGAGGTTGATATAGGCCATAATAACCCACCAGAGGTTGATAGGCCTTAACAACCACTTGGACGGTCTGGGATTGAACGCCGACCTGCATGAAGTGAAACCGTCGCTCTACCATCCAGCCCAAGTGGTAGGACTATAGTGATTAGCAAGATATAAATTAATCATAATTATTATTCATGAAATATGCCTTTGATTAATGAATATAAATCACTCGTACTCTGAGAAAGACCTCGAGTAGATAGCATAATGGTCTAAGTTCTGGAGTTGTTGTGTTTTTATACAAACTTATGCACGATCTTCAAGACATTTTACATTTTACAAAATCTTAAGTAACTTTTTCTGTCCCTCTCATCCTAGTTCTGTCCCCTCTCATCCTAGTTCTGTCCCCTCTCATCCTAGTTCTGGCCCCTCTCATCCTAGCTATGTCCCTCTCATCCTAGTTCTTTCCCCTCTCCTCCTAGTTCTGTCCCTCTCATCCTAGTTCTGTCCCTCTCATACTAGTTCTGTCCCTCTCATACTAGTTCTGTCCCTCTCATCCTAGTTCTGTCCCCTTTCATCCTAGTTCTGTCCCTCTCATCCTAGTTCTGTCCCCTCTCATCCTAGTTCTGTCCCCTCTCATCCTAGTTCTTTCCCCTCTCCTCCTAGTTCTGTCCCTCTCATACTAGTTCTGTCCCTCTCATCCTAGTTCTGTCCCTCTCATACTAGTTCTGTCCCTCTCATCCTAGTTCTGTCCCTCTCATCCTAGTTCTGTCCCCTTTCATCCTAGTTCTGTCCCTCTCATCCTAGTTCTGTCCCCTCTCATCCTAGTTCTGTCCCCTCTCATCCTAGTTCTTTCCCCTCTCCTCCTAGTTCTGTCCCTCTCATACTAGTTCTGTCCCTCTCATCCTAGTTCTGTCCCTCTCATACTAGTTCTGTCCCTCTCATCCTAGTTCTGTCCCCTCTCCTCCTAGTTCTGTCCCCTCTCATCCTAGTTCTGTCCCCTCTCCTCCTAGTTCTGTCCCCTCTCATCCTAGTTCTGTCCCCTCTCATCCTAGTTCTGTCCCCTCTCATCCTAGCTTTGTCCCTCTCATCCTAGTTCTTTCCCCTCTCCTCCTAGTTCTGTCCCTCTCATCCTAGTTCTGTCCCTCTCATACTAGTTCTGTCCCTCTCATACTAGTTCAGTCCCTCTCCTCCTAGTTCTGTTCCTCTCATCCTAGTTCTGTCCCTCTCATCCTAGTTCTGTCCCCTCTCCTCCTAGTTCTGTCCCTCTCATCCTAGTTCTGTCCCTCTCATCCTAGTTCTGTCCCCTCTCCTCCTAGTTCTGTCCCTCTCATCCTAGTTCTGTCCCCTCTCCTCCTAGTTCTGTCCCTCTCATCCTAGTTCTGTCCCTCTCATCCTAGTTCTGTCCCTCTCATCCTAGTTCTGTCCCTCTCATCCTAGTTCTGTCCCTCTCATCCTAGTTCTGTCCCTCTCATCCTAGTTCTGTCCCTCTCATCCTAGTTCTGTCCCTCTCATCCTAGTTCTGTCCCTCTCATCCTAGTTCTGTCCCTCTCATCCTAGTACTGTCCCCTCTCATCCTAGTTGCGACTTGATAAAGGCAAAACAATATCTTTCCTCTTCGTCTGGGTGTTGGTTGGTTTCAACCGCCTAATTGTGTCTTATATCTGTATCTTGTTCAGGATAGTTGCCCCGCAAGGTTGAGTTTGACCTCTCATAGTTCAAGGGTCATAAGTGTCGAGGAGTGAATGCATCCATGGACCGGTCCTTACCCTAGTTCTTACCGTAGACGAATGAGGTAGGAGAGTAAATTCGCCTCATTTGGCTGGGTATTTATGAACCAGTTGGGTTACTGGTGTCTCATTTGGTCACTGCGGAAGGTGAGAGTTCGGGACAAACGCCGGAGGCACTGAAGAACGGCCTTGCGGTACTCCGCGCTAACCACAACAAACACTATCGGGTCCAGGCAGAATTGGAGCCATTGTAGAGTGTGAATGAGGAGCCAGGCGTCTAGACAACCATAGAATTGTTGATCACAGTAGACTGAATTAACACAATCACAGACGAAGTGGATGATGGCGTGTGGCAAACTGCACACAACTAAGATGATAGAGATGATGAAGACGCTCCTGGAGGCTTCTTCTTCCCATCTGCGACAGGATCCCACAGTCTCAGCTGTGGCGGCCTCGCTTGCTGAGAGAGTCCCCTCGCCTGAGGCAGATGCCATGTTCCCTTCTCTAGTCTGCAGTTCACTCATGCCTGTCCTTCTCTGGCGCAGCTGATAATACATCAAAATAGTCAACATTAACCAAACACAACACATTATATAGATGTATAAAGATATTTACATAAAAATAAATTTTCGTCAAGTACAGACAGTATAAATGCAGATACAGACGGAAACAGAAGACATTACGCAGACGAGTCACAGTAACGTGGCTGATGATATGATGACCAGACCACAACGACGACGTTTCGGTCCGTCCTGGACCATCATCACGTCGTGTGTTGATGTTGACATAAACACACCACTTGATAATGGTCCAGGATGGACCGAAACATTTCTTCATCTTATGATGTGTGGTTTGGTCACCATAAGACATGAGAGGAGGCCAGCTAGGAGGAGAACAGATTATGGAGACGAGGGACTTCAGTACAAGACAGGGATTCTTAACTTATTTTACGATTACAGAGCCCAATATGTTCCCACACTTTCTTCACAAATCTGTAAAAATCTTCATTGTCACACGTCTTCAAAAGCTGTTAATAGCTTCGTTTTCCTTTACTTGCGGATAGCTAGGAACAGAACAGCTGAAAGAAAAGTATAAGCATTTTATATATATGCAAAAACAAAAAACCACCTGTGTGCACACTACAGGTAACTGGTGAGATTATTGATGATCTCTTTATGGAGTTACAAAGGTGGAATCGAGGCACCGTTACGGTGACAGGTAATTCTAATCTAACAACTTTCCTAAATTGATCAGAGATCGTGTCCCAAGCCCTCATTATTTGGTTACAATACCCTCAAAGAATAGGGGTATACCCCCACTCCCATAGCTTAAGAACCCCCTGGTATAAGAGATAGTCCCAGGGCTTAGTCTAACTTCTGGAGGCTAAATACTAGGAGGAAATATGGCATCACAAGACCTCTGTTGCAACAATTCACTTTTATTATACTGTGCTTTCATCTTTAAATAGCTCTAAACTACTGACCTTCACGTAGATGAAGACGTAACAGATGATGGTGGCAATTAGAGGTATGAAGTAAGTTATTAGAACGTGGAACTTCCGCAAAATCTTGTTCGTGATGTCGAAAGTCACAGTATATGCGGCGAACCTAATTTCGATGAAACTCTGCGAAAATATATTAAAATCACTTTAGGAGATTTAAATATACTAAATATTTTATTAACTTTAACAAATAAATTTAATAAGTTTGATTCGTACAATTATTTAATTCTTGTCATTATGTCTATAATTTATGAATACACACAAAGATTATTTGGTATGCCTCAAAATGTCTTAAAATGATGAAAATTCAATTCTAATTTAATAAACTGTTCTATTCACCTGGACTTAATAAACTATTTTCTTTAATAACATCTTGTATTTATTGAGTGTGTATATATATATTTCTAATTTAATATTATTGAAAGATGGCGAACATCTAAGAAAGTAGGTCAGCCTGGGGAGGGACAAGCATCTGGTGATGAGGTAAAGTGCATCATGAGCATCCATGTCTTCAATCCTCTCGTTCATCCTCGTCAGGTCAGTGATCTTCTTACCAATGACCTCGTCGATGGCATTCCCTCCAAGAGAAGCACCTAGGAGTGTGCTGTCCTCAGGGTTGGTTATATGAATATCGGGCAAAACAACCTTTATTCGCTCTATTATGTGCTGGGTGAGGGAGGTAATTTCGCACTTGGAAGAGTTCAGGGTAAGGCCTAGACTTGCTCCTTGCTCTTGAATTATTCTTATGTCATCCAGGAGGGAGTCTGGGGAGCCAGCTAGAGTACCATCGTCCAAAAACCAAATGTTGAGCTCACTGGACAGGTTATTGGTGACTTCCTTGATGACTAGACAGAAAAGAAAAGGAGCAAGGGGGGTCACCCTGTTGGACATCTTCTTGTGATTCAGTTTCATGTTCCCCAAATAGCAGAGTTAGATTCTTGTTGTAACATGAGTTTACAAACGGGTAGAGAGAAGGAAAAAAGCGATGAACTGCACTGAGTACTGCATCCCTTCTAACCAGATTAAAAGCATTTTTGAAGTCCAGTTTTATCGGGGCTTTTTCATCTGTAATGTTGGCAATGTAGGCTCTAGCTGCATGAGCCGCTGCCTCACACCCATAGGGAATGCCAAACCCAAGCTGTTTTGGCTTCAGCATGTCGGCTGCTGCTTGGCTAACTGTTCTAGCAGCAGCCTTAGCGACGAGGCGCCAGAATGAATTGCCCACAGCAATCAGTCTGATTCCTCTATCCTTTTTCCTCAGGGCACAGAGGGTAGCGCCAAAAAAGAGAGAGGCCGTATGGTCTCTGGTATGTTGCCAGCTAGACATGTGTTGGAGAATCTAGTTAGTTTCATCAGGAGGCCCTGTGCAATGTCTCCCAGTGTAGGGTTGAGCATTTGTTTGATGTGATTGGGTCTTAGTCCTGTGAACCCACCTGCTAACCCTGGTGGGAAGGATAAAGCTGCTTTATGCACCACGGATTCGACCACACACACGGGTTCAGCTCTGATGACACCAACTAGTGGAACACAGTCGTCACTTGGAGCTCTGGGTGGGTGTTTTTCTCTCAGGGCTTGCGCTGTATCCGCATCTCTGGTGGCAACTGTGTCCATGCTGGTGATAACTCTGATCGCCCATATTGTGTTGCCTTCTTCTATTTCCTTGCTGACTGTTGCTCTGATTTTGGAATATATATATATATATATATATATATATATATATATATATATATATATATATATATATATATATATATATATATGCAATTGACGATCACAAAACACTGATCATTTTATGCGGAAAATCCACAGAGAAATATGAAATGAGGTGAACGTTCACCTCATTTCATATTTCTCTGTGGATTTTCCGCATATATATATATATATATATATATATATATATATATATATATATATATATATATATATATATATATATATATATATATATATATATATATATATATATATATATATATATATATATATATGTATATATATATATATATATATATATATATATATATATATATATATATATACTATATATATATATACTATATATATATATATACTATATATATATATATATATACTATATATATATATATGTCGTACCTAATAGCCAGAACGCACTTATCGGCCTACTATGCAAGGCCCGATTTGCCTAATAAGCCAAGTTTTCCTGAATTAATATAATTTCTCTATTTTTGTTCTTATGAAATGATAAATCTAACCATTTCATTATGTATGAGGTCAATTTTTTTTTATTGGAGTTTAAATTAACGTAGATATATGACCAAACCTAACCAACCCTACCTAACCTAACCTAACCTATCTTTATAGGTTAGGTTAGGTTAGGTAGCGGAAAAAGTTAGGTTAGGTTAGGTTAGGTAGGTTAGGTAGTCGAAAAGCAATTAATTCATGAAAACTTGGCTTATTAGGCAAATTGGGCCTTGCATAGTAGGCTGAGAAGTGAGTTCTGGCTACTAGGTACGACATATATATATATATATATATATATATATATATATATATGCAATTGACGACCACGATGCTTTGTATCTACATACAAGTTTGTGTAATCACACTATTAATTGGGATGGGGCGAAAAGCATTGCCAATTGCAATGGCTTTGTGGAACGGAATTTAATTGAGTCTGCCCTAATTAGTCATTGTCCAAATCTTCTCAATGTTAGTACTGGTATGTACAAACTTGACCCTGTTTTAAGTTACAATATTACACAACAGTTTAAGAAAAAACTCTGAAAGGGAGGCTTACAATGTCTCATTACAATTTTATGTTCATTTATTGTGTGTTCATGAGGCTTTTCTTTAATCTTTCATCCTTATTCTCTGACCGCTTAATCCTCTTTGACCATTCTAAGCTAAGCTATTCCTGTGTCTGGTAATTCTTTCCCTAGAGATGGGTTGGTCAGGTTCCAGGTGTTGGCCTGTACTTTCTCTCTTTCTCTAGTCAGTCTGGTGTTGACAACGGCTTTAACAGGCCGAAACGTTCATCTCTCTTCCCCATTTCTTTGTGGTTTTTCCGCATATATATATATATATATATATATATATATATATATATATATATATATATATATATATATATATATATATATATATATTGTGTGTGTGTGTGTGAGAGAGAAAGCTGCATGAACGCGCAAGCCATAGATCACTAAGAACTCTTTGACCCGGCCAGGAGTCGAACCCATGCCGTCCAGGATCACCCAGAGACCCAGATTTGCGTTAAAGAACCAAGGAAATTTACTACCAGAGGGAGCCAGAAGATGACGGAGAGGACCCAGATCAGCACCAGCTGCAGAGCCACTACAGATGACCTCAGCATCCTCCTGAAGACCACTGGGGACCTCAGCGCCACCACCCTGCACAACCACAACAGTATCCACGATCAAATAATATTAACCGTGTTGGCACTGAAGTTAGAAGTTAACACATCTGTTATTTAAGCGATTAAAGGATATATTAAGTATACGAGTCTCTAAGCCAAAACAGTAATTATATTTACTACCAGAACAGTACCTGTTAACAGCCACGATACAAATGCTGAGAATGTGGACCTGATGAAGAATCACAAGACAATTGTAGACGATCCACATGGTCTTTTCTGTGAGGCCGTCGCCGTACTCTGCACCTTCGAAGAATTTAGCGACCATCAAGGGTAAGGTGTAGCAACATATAGGGATGAGGCAGAGCGCCAGGTTGACCATGAAGGCCGTGTTGTGGTTGCTGCGGAGCTTCTTGGAGCTCAACATCACCACCATCACCATCACATTCCCTGAAGAGAATACTTCGTGTCAGCGAGTCGTTGCCAATGTGTTAATTTTAGACTTTTACAGTCCGGAATGAAATTATAACTATCTAATCACAGTTCTCACCGAAAGTTCCTATAAAACACGTAAAGAAATTGCAGATAGATGTCAGGACGACGACCTCGGACGAGTACTGGCTGCGGGGTACTGATCCAGTGTTACCAGGTAACCAGGTACTGATAGGTGTTGCAAGTTTAATAGTTGTCTCCTCCATCCTTTCTCAACCACTGCTTAATCCTCTTTCCTTGCGGCTTCTTCTCGCTTTGTTGTTGTTTTAGATCCAGCTCCTCGGAACCAAAAGTTCCAAGTAGCACAAGCTATGGTGAGCCCGGAGTGGACTTACTTGGCACAAGAGCTGGGCAGTAACGTCTTCTCACAACTGAGAAGGGTTGAACATTAGCTTGGCGGGACGCTGGTAAACACCGTCCCCGCCCGCTATCACCGCGCAGGCGCCAACCACTGTCCTTACTCTGATAACACCACTTCCGCAGCTATAAATAATCTTTTTCTTTTACTCTAACGTTTAGCCCAATTACACGAGGGTAATTATCTTTTTTGTAGATATGTTGATTAACCCGAGAATCCTTATTTCATGTTTACATTTGATTGTATGTGTACAATTGATTGTATTTCTACATTTGATTGTATGTGAACATTTTATTCCTGCTAATATTAATATTATTGATATTAACAGCAATAAAACGTACACATATAATAAAAGTACACATACAGTAATACTGGTAACAGGAATAGTATTAATAATAATAATACTACACATTTCAGTATACGTGTAATACTTCGGTGTGGAAATTAATACATTTAATACCAGGTGGAACAAAAGCAGCCTAAGCAAGTCAACAAGGGATGAGGTACATTCTCTTTATATTCTTGTTTCTGCTTTCTTTATGCAACTACCTTTTGTATGCAACCTGTGACAATCTCCCACTGATGTGCATTATGTTAATACACACTAAGTTGACACAATGTGTTGCTGTGGTGGCCAGTTTTAGTTTTATGCGGAATAATATTTCAATTTACTGCAAGCCGAATCGCAACTTGCCCGTGTATTGGGCTGTCCCTGCAACTTACATGTACTTTGGTTATCCGTGCAACTTACAAGTACATCCGTACGTAGGTTTCCTCACGTCGACTCTCTGGGCGCTGGCGTTGACGTCCTCTGATAACGAAATGACCAGATAATGATTATTTACTGAGAAATCAAAATATGAATAATACATTACAAATATTATTTATTCATTATATCATTCAGGATGTAGACAAGCACCACCACACTCCAGCAGTCATCCACAGCAGCAGTACCACCACTACATAGTTCATGAGTTCCACCCTGGTGGCTGTGTGAGGAGGGTGTCTGTGACGGCTGTGGGGGTGTTGTCCCCCGTGTGGGCGTGGTACGCCTCTGGAGGAGACATGGGGACTTACCGGCCGCCATTGCAGAGGACCTCGTCGGCTGGTCTGGCTTTTACGGTGCCAGTGGACCACATGTTGGTTGGTGTTGCCCTGGTGGATGTTCTACATGTGCAGTTGTCGAAATCGGTGGGCGTCCAGTTGCTGCAGGGGAACCGCGCCGTGGTCAAGTTTCGCCATCAGGCTGCCTTTCAGGCGTTTCTGGGGCGGTGTGAGGGGCATGTTTACCCTCTCCCTGATGCCGCCGGATCAGTTAAGGTAGTGAACCTCAGCGTCTCCTTGACGTATGTGTCGGTGCGTGGTGCCCCCTTCGAGTTTAACGACGATCTCCTAACTGCTGTGTTTAGACGGTTTGGCACTGTGCTCAGCATTCGTTGGAACAAGGTACTTGCGGGGCACTGTGCTGGGATGCTTGACGGCTCCCGCACCCTGACTATGTCGCTGAAGAGTAGTGTTCCGTCCTCTGTGTCCGTGTTGGGTTACACGCTCCGCTGCTTGTATCGGGGGGCAGCCGCGCACCTGTTACAGGTGTGGTAATGAAGGTCATCTCGCTGCAGCGTGTGACGTGGGAGCATCTGGTAGGGTGCATATTTTTGGTGAGGAGGACTTTCCACCCCTGTTGACTTCGGACGCTTCTGAGGATGGAGTGAGTGCTGTGCCTGAGGCGCCTGATTGCCTGTCTGCTGCTCCGCCTGGTGGGGCGGGTACTACGCCTTGTACGTCCAGTCTGTTAACTGGTGTGGCCCCGGTGGTAGTTGTTGCGCCTGAGTGTGAGTGTGTCGGGCCGTCGCCCGCACTGCGTGTGGTGGATGTCCCAGTGGAAGTCCATGTCCCGCCCCCGCCTGCAGATGTGGTCCCGGCTTCCGGAGAAGCGGGTTCTTCTGTTTTGGGGGGCCTGCCACCCCCGAGGCCGGGGCCTGACGACCCTGTGAGTTTGGACGATTGTAGTTCGGATGATGTACTTCCTTTGCAGAAGCGGGCGCGCCGGTGTCCCGGGCCAGTTTCCCAGGATGTGGTGGACCGTGTGAGCGACGTGGCCTCTGTGGGCTCTCCGGCCAGTGTGGGTGTGGACCATGAGGATGCTGTGATGTTGACCATGCCTGCGAAGGAGACGGCTGGGGACGGTGTGATGCCTGTTCCTGCCTGCATTTCGGGTGTTGCTCCACTGTGTCCCCCTGCGCCTCCGTGTGCCGGTTCTCCGAAGTGGGAGGTTGTTGCACCTGCTGTGGTCCCTGGTGTGGATCGTGATTTAGTTCTCGTGCTGACAAAGGACACCGGCCGGGGAGTCTTGGCGCCGTATGAACCTGTGCCGCGGGATGTACCGCCGCTCGTGATTGGAGGTGTCGTTGGCGAGATTCCGGAGTATATGCGTCGCCCACGTCACTCGGACGAGGGTATACCCCCGTCGCAAGGATGCCTGGGATGTGTGGCATGCGTAGTGTCAGAAATATTCTAAGCGTCTGTTTCCTGAAAAATATTATATTTAGCTTGTATGTATGTGTGTGTGTTTTTTGCTTGTTTTGTTTGTTTTATGCTCCTTTGTCTTCTACGTGTCCCTCTGTTTTTCGTTCATGTTTCTGTCATTTATGTGTCCTGCTTTGTTACGCTGTCCCCAGGTTGGGTTGTTTCTGTAAAGGTTCATTTTATGATCGGATGCTTTGATGCCTTGTTTAATTTGTACGTCTGTATTTTATAATTATAAGAAAAAAAATACATAGTTCACCACTTCGAGCACCGCTGCCCGAAACGCTATGTGTGGTAGTGGCTTTGCAAGGATGTAAGAACACCGATATTATGTACTCTCTCAACCCAGTGTACCTTCTTACATTTTAATTTTATTTTGCCCCGAAGGGCGAGTTCTTATTAGGCCGCGCCACAAAACCTGTGAATGTTGTTGTTGTGAATTTAGGGGTGACGGCGATCGTGGTAGCGGATGCGCCTCGGCGTACCCATAAAGCCTAATCGCGAAACGAATGACGCTTATCAGCGGAAACTAATATGCTTCGCGGCAAATAAACGCACAGACAGGCTGATGATTGGGGAACTCCAGGAGTCCCTCAGGGTGACAAGCACCGGCCTCGACCCCGCACAGAGAACACTGAGTAGCAAAACCAAAAACTCGGACCCAACTAAAACGCAAAAGCCATCCTGTGTCCTGCTTGCGAGATGCCTGCTTGATGGGGTTCTGGGAGTTGTTCTACTCTCTAAGCCCGGCCCGAGGCCAGGCTTGACTTGTGAGAGCTTGGTCCAGCAGGGAGCGGCCCACAGGCCCACAAATCCACCACAGCCCGTTTGGTCTGGCACTTCTTGAAGAAAACTATCAAGTTTTCTCGTGAAGATGTCCACGGTTGTTCCGACAATATTTCTTATAATTGCTGGGAGGACGTTGAACAACCGCGGACCTCTGATGTTTATACAATGTTCTCTGATTGTGCCTATGGCACCTCTGCTCTTCACTGGTTCTATTCTACCTTTTCTTCCATATCGTTCACTCCAGTATGTTAATATTTTACTGTGCAGATTTGGGACCTGGTCCTCCAGTATTTTCCACGTGTATATTATTTGATATCTCTCTCGTTTCCTTTCTAGCGAGTACATTTGGAGAGCTTTGAGATGATCCCAATAATTTAGGTGCTTTATCGCGTCTATGCGTGCCGTATATGTTCTCTGTATTCCCTCTTTTTCAGCAATCTCCCTTGTTCTGAAGGGGGAAGTGGGTACTGATGTCTGATGTGAGTACTGATGTGCTGTACCGTCTTGAGTACTCAAGACGGGACAGCACAAGTGATTTGAATAGTACAACCACTTTGACGGGATTTCTGGATTTTAAGGTTCTCGTAATCTATCTTATAATTTTTCTGACTGACTCGATATTTGCTTGGTTATGCTCCCTAAACGTTAGGTCGTCAGAAATCATTATTCCCAAATCCTTGACGTATTGCTTTCCTACTATGGGCAGATTTGATTGTGTTTCGTACCCTGTTTCATGTTTAAGGTTCTCATTTTTACCGTACCTGAGTACCTGGAATTTATCGCTGTTAAACATCACGTTATTTTCTGTTGCCCAGTCGAAACTTTATTATTATCTGCTTATAATTGTTCAATGTCTTTGGCAGAGGTAATTTCCATGCTGATTTTGTGTCATCTGCAAAGGATGATACGAAGCTGTAACTTGTATATTTGTCTTCATCTGATATGAGAATAAGGAAAAGCAGTGGTGCAAGGACTGTACCCTAAGGTACAGAGCTTTAAAGTTGTAAGCGTAATTTTATTCGCGATTAGGCTTCTAGGATACACCGGGGACGCATCCGCTCCCACAATCGCCGTCGCCCCTAAATTCACAGCAAAACACTCACAGGATGAGTGGCGCTGCCCAAAAAACTCGCCCTTCGGGACAAAAATAAAATTTAAATTTAAGAAGGTACACTGGGTTGTAAGAGTGCATAATATTGGTGTTCTTACATCCTTGCAAAGCCACTACCACACATAGCGTTTAGGGCAGCGGTGCTCGAAGCGGTGAGCTATGTAGTGGTGGTACTGCTGCTGTGGATGACTGCTGGAGTGTGGTGGTGCTTGTCTACATCCTGAATGATATAATGAATAACATTTGTAATATATTATTCATAATATGAATCATGGGTGAAAGAAACTCTGCCCATTTGTTTCCGCCACCGCCGGGGATCGAACCCGGAGCCTTAGAACTACGAACACCGAGCGCTGTCCACTCAGCCGTCAGGCCCTTAAGCTGCTATGGCGGAATGTTCACTCATTCGACTGAGTGTTCACGGATGACGACTCCTGGTTCAACCTTGACGACGAGCGGATGTCGGTACACCTCCACCAACCCGTCCTCGACTCAAGTCCATTACATCCAGCGGTCGACCCCACAGACGCATTCAGAAATGTTTACATGCTGTTCATTCAGAACGGGAATTTTCTCAAATATAAATTAATATTATAATATATTAGCAAATTGTGCATATATAGGCATAGGTTAGGTTAGGTGTTTAGGTTCTGTTGGCGATTATTTGTATTTGTAGTACGTGGGTGAAGCATTTACACCGTTGTGATTGGACAACCCGTCCTCGACTCAAGTCCATTACATTCAGCGGTCGACCCCACAGACGCATTAATATATTTTAACATGCTGTTCATTCAAAACGGGAATTTTCTCAAGTATAAATTAATATTATAATATATTGGCATATTGTGTATATATAGGCATAGGAGAGGTTAGGTTAGGTGTTTAGGTTCTGTTGGCGATTATTTGTATTTGTAGTACGTGAGTGAAGCATTTATAGCGTTGTGATTCGAACAAAATTCGTCAGTGAAGCACTTGTTCCGGATATGTTCGAACGTCAGCAGTTGTGAGTCATGTGTAAACCGCTTTTCATTCATAAACAGGGGGTTTGGCGGGTGCATGGAATCACTTGTGGATCTTTGTTTGGAGGACGGGCTTCCTCCTCCGCCTGGGGGCCGCCGGATCACGTTCTGTTTCGCGGTATTGGATTATGATACAGTCGTTTGGCGTCTCTATGCAACGGCCGGGATTGTTGCGACGCCTGGCGCACATATCGCCTTGGGTCACGGGATTCTTGGTAGAGTTTGAACGTTTTCTGGCTGGTTCTTCCGGCGGGATTACGGTGTCCGGTGCCGGCTTGGCCGAGAGGTGCGATGGTTGGTGGGTCTTGATTGGATCTTGGTGAGCCCTCAGCCAGGGTTGGGGGCTGGTGTGCCCTCAGCCGGGGTTGGGGGCTGGTGTGCCCTCAGCCGTAGTTGGGGGCTGGTGAGCCCTCAGCTGGGGTTGGGGGCTGGTGTGCCCTCAGCCGTGGTTGAGGCTGGTGAGCCCTCAGCCGGGGTTGGGGGCTGGTGTGCCCTCAGCCGTGGTTGGGGGCTGGTGTGCCCTCAGCCGTGGTTAGGGGCTGGTGTGCCCTCAGCCGGGGTTGGGGGCTGGTGTGCCCTCAGCCGTGGTTGGGGGCTGGTGTGCCCTCAGCCGTGGTTGGGGGCTGGTGTGCCCTCAGCCGTGGTTGGGGGCTGGTGTGCCCTCAGCCGTGGTTGGGGGCTGGTGTGCCCTCAGCCGGGGTTGGGGGCTGGTGTGCCCTCAGCCGTGGTTGGGGGCTGGTATGCCCTCAGCCGGGGTTGGGGGCTGGCTTCTGCTCTGCCAGAGGTCAAGTCTAAGTCAATCTACCAAGTCTAAGCTGGAGAATGGCAAACCAAAATATCATAGCAGGGAACCCGCCTGGAAATAATCAACCACAGGTCAGAGAACTTTTGAGAGTCTGTGACAAATTCTCGCTTAATCAACAGATTACAGAACCAACTTGGAACGAAAACACACTAAACCTCTTATTCACAAACAATGATGAACTAATCAGAGACATTACAATCTCAGATACTACATACTCAAACCATTAGCTCATTGAAGTGCAAACTAACATTAATTACGGTAGTAGGTCCCAGAGCACCAACAAGCGACAATGGGTATTCAATTAATTCAAATTTCAACAATAAGACAATCGACTGGGAAAAAATAAATATAGACCTTACAAACATTCAATGGGAGACGGTCTTAAGCGACAAAACTCCCACACAGGGAATAGCTCAACTGACAGCTGAAGCTTACAAGGTCTGTTTGAAGCACGTGCCTGTGAGGAGGGGCAGAAAGAGGACCACCCTAGAAAGAGAACGCAGACGACTGTACAGGAGAAGGAAGAAAATAACGGAAATGCTTAGGCAGACACGACTATCACATGCAAGGAAAATAAACCTAAACAGGGAGATCGAAGAAATAGAGCAAACGTTGAAGCGATCATACGAATCTGAGGAAATGGAATTGGAACAGAAAGCTATACTTTATAAAACTTTATAAAGTTTATTTATGAACTTTATAAAGATAAAGAAAAATACAAAATATTTTTTCATATATGCAAAATCAAAATAAAAAACCTCTGCCAGTATTGGACCTTTAATTACAACTGAAGATACGTACACAGAGGACAACAAAGAAATTAGTGAAATTCTTAGAAGCCAGTAAGAGACTATGTTTAGCACACCAATAAACAACATGAAAGTTCAAGATCCAGACAGCTTCTTTATGAATGACAGTCAAGCTGCAGATAATATAACGGATATTAACATAAATTCAGAAGACTGAAAGAGAAATTGACAACATGCCCATGCACTCAACCCCTGGTCCTGACTCGTGGAATTCAATATTCTTAAAGAAATGCAAAGTACCAGTAGTGCGAGCGCTCTGTGTAATATGGAGAAAGTGCCTGGATTCAGGGGAGATACCAGCAGCACCTAAATCTGCAAATATAGCTCCTCTGCACAAGGGGGATAGTAAAGCTTTGGCAAAAAATTATAGACCAGTTGCAATAACATCACACATAATAAAAGTTTTTAAAGAGTGGTTAGGAATCAAATTTCTAGTTTTATAGAAAATAATGAACTACACAACCCAGGACAACATGGATTTAGAGCGGGAAGCTCCTGTCTGTCGCAGTTACTCAACCACTTTGACAAAATCACAGAACCTTCAGAAGAGAAGCAAATTGCAGATGTTGTATACACAGACTTTGCAAAGGCATTCGACAAATGTGACCATGGAGTGATAACAAACAAAATGAGGTCAATGGGAATAACTGGTAAAGTAAGTCGGTGGATACTCAATTTCCTGTCGAACAGAACACAAAGAGTAACAGTCTATCAAATAAAATCGAGTCTAAACGCAGTTAAAAGCTCTGTACGTCAGGGGTACAGTCCTTACACCACTGGTTTTCCTTATTCTAATATCAGATATAGACTCAAATACAAGGCACAGCTTCGTATCATCCTTTGCAGATAACACAAAAATCAGCATGGAAAATACCTCCGCTGAAGACATTGAATAATTACAAGCAGATATTAATCAAGTTTCGATTGGGCAGCAGAAAATAACGTGATGTTTAACAGTCATCAATTCCTGGTACTCAGTGTTATGATCTCAGCCTACAGGAGAAACGAGTCTCCCTCCTTGAGAGTTATTCATCAAGCCTGACCTGATTAGAAGGTCTAGCAAATATAGAGGCGATAACACATATGAAAAATAGTATGTTGGATTCAATGGACAGTTTAAGATTATGGGCAGTAAGTAAGGAAATAGATAAATGACTGGCTAGGAGATGTGGACATTTTGCTGGAGGCGTGAGGCTCGCTTCCGGAGGACCTTGACCTCACTTGAGTGCCAGACATCGCAGGGGAAAGCCGCGCTACGTTTGAGCTCCCGCCAGAAGGGAACCCCTAGTGATATATCTCGAAGAGAAGAGAAGTGTGTAGACGTGCCAGCTGTGGAACCGAGCTGGGAACGTTGTGGTCTCAAGTCCTGGTCGACGAAGTGTTTATTAAATCGCCCAGAGGCATTATTGTGGGCCGTGGAAGCGCCGTGACCAGACGCCGTCAGAGGGAGAGCGCCCTCGACCAGTTAATCTGTGGTTTGTCTTTTGGGGAAGAAGTTGCTGAGAACTTCGAAGCCAGCCTAGATGAGGTAATTGATGAGACTCCAAGGTAGTGGAGGAGAGGACCTCGAGCTGTGAGGAGAAGCAGCAGTGAAGAGGAGTGTCACATGCTTCTGTAGAGGTGGTGTAGCAGCCAAGAGAGCTGTGGAGGAACCTAACAGAAGGGTGAAGCACCGTAGTTGCTCAAGGAAACTTCATGATAGCAGCCTGGAGGAGCTGCAGAGGATCCTGGTAGTGAAGCCCGGAAGAACCTAAAGATCAGGGTAGTGAACTTCCAGAGGTGGAAGGGAAGTTCTGGTGGATTACTTGTAGGGAGTTGATAGTGTTTGGTTGTCATTAGTGTGCAAGACGCAGTGAGAGGTGAGTGGTTGTTTACATTCTTATGTCAAGGAGTGTTTTATACTGAAGTTTAGAGTTACAGTCGTAGGCTGGATTGCCTACAGATGTATGCGTTCCAGGACTGACAGTGATCGATTGATCATTGTTGTGTATCAATGAACAGTTATACTGATATATGTTATTGCATTCAAATGCTGATTTTCTATATATATATTATCTTGCTGATGGTGTAACAGTGTATGTAGACTTGATCAACTTGAGGTGGTTGATAGTATCAGGTGGTGAACCAGGAGATAGGATACCACTTGATAAGCTGATAATAGAGTTCTGATGGTGTTGGAGTGCAACCTGATTGTGATATTATAGAGTATAGGATTCATTATTATTATATGTGTGTATGTATCGTGTATGTGCTTTGTCCAGTAAATGTATCCCAATTTGCTGGTGTTTGACCTTGTCCTAGTGAGGCTTCCCATGAAATAGTACAGAAGAAGAGAGAGAGAGAGAAAGAACCAGGAACCACTGCTGTGGGCAAGGTAGGAGGTAATACTAGTAAGTCATAGGGGATTGAGATCATATCTCATAAGGAGAGAGTGGGGAGTCACAGCGGCTCGAGTGGGTGTGTGCACGTGACAACGAGGCTAAGTGTTGGAGCCGCATCCCCTTAACGTGTGACGTTGAGCCCCTCTCCAAGAGCCAGAGGCGCCAAGGGTGATCTCCTAGTATAAGCACTCTACCGAGTTGTGGGTTGGGTTGTCCATAGAGAAGGATCAACGACGACAACACCAACCAACCCACAGACTATAATATCAGGTACGGTAAAAATGAGAACCTTAAACATAATACAGGGTACAAAACACAATCAAATCTGCCCATAGTAGGAAAGCAACATGTCAAGGATTTGGGAATAATGATGTCTGACGACCTAACGTTTAGGGAGCATAACCAAGCAAATATTGCATTAGCTAGAAAATATGAAAGGATGGATTACGAGAACTTTCAAATCCAAGGATCCCATCACAATGGTTGTACTCATTAAATCACTAGTGTTGTCCCGTCTTTAGTACTGCTCAGTACTCACTTCCCCTTTCAGAGCATGAGAGATTGCTGAAATAGAGGGAATACAGAGAACATATACGGCATACATAGACACGATAAAACACCTAAATTATTGGGATCGTCTCAAAGCTCTCCAAATGTACTCACTAAAAAGGAGACGAAAGATATCAAATAGTATACACGTGGAAAATGCTGGAGGGCCAGGTCCCAAATCTACACAGTAAAATGACAACGTACTGGAGTGAACGATATGGAAGAAAATGTAGAATAGAACCAGTGAAGAGCAGGGGTGGCATAGACACAATCAGAGAACACTGTATAAACATCAGACGTCCACGGTTGTTGAACATCCGCCCAGCAAGAATAAGAAATATTGCCGGAACAACCGTGGACTTCTTCAAGAGAAAACTAGATTGTTTTATTTAAGAAGTGCCGGACCAATCGGGCTGTGGTGGGTATGTGGGCCTGCGGGCCGCTCCAAGCAACAGTCTGCTGGACCAAGCTCTCACAAGTCAAGCCTGGCCTCGGGCCGGGCTTGGGGAGTAGAAGAACTCCCAGAACCCCATCAAGCAAGCAGGGCACTAGATGGCTTTTACGTTTTAGTTAGGGACCGAGTTTTTGGTTTTGCTACTCAGTGTTCTCTGTGCGGGGGCGAGGCCGGTGCTTGTCACCCCTGAGGGACTCCTGGAGCTCCCCAATCATCAGCCTGTCTGTGTATTTATTTGCCGCGAAGCATATTACTTTCCGCTAATAAGCGTCATTCGTTTCGCGATTAGGCCTTATGGGTACGCCGAGGTGCATCCGCTATCACGATCGCCGTCGCCCCTAAATTCGCAGCAACAACACTCACAGGATGAGTGGCGCTGCCCAATAAACTCGCCCTTCGGAACAATATTTAAATTAAAATTTAAGAAAGTACACTGGGTTGTGAGAGTACATAATATCGGTGTTCTTACATCCTTGCAAAGCCACTACCACACATAGCGTTTCGTGTAGCGGTGCTCGAAGCGGTGAACTATGTAGTGATGGTACTGCTGCTGTGGATGACTGCTGGAGTGTGGTGGTGCTTGTCTACATCCTGATTGACATAATGAATAAATAATATTTGTAATATATTATTCATGTTAGGATTTCTTAGTAAATAATCTTTATCTAGTCCTTTGGTATCTGAGGAAGTAAACGCCAACGTCCAGAGAGTCGACGTGAGGAAACTTCTTATGAGGTTGTAAGAGGCACGGACACCCAAATACACGCGGAAATAGCGATTCGGCTTGCAGTAAATTGAAATACTATTCCGCATAAAACTAAAACTGGCCACCACAGCAACACAGTGTGTCAACTTAGTGTGTATTAACATAATGCACATCAGTGGGAGATTGAAATAAGAATATAAATGTGCCTCTTCCCTTGTTAACTTATCTAGGATGCTTGGTTCCACCTGGTATTATGTATTAAGTTCCAAACCAATGTATTACACGAATACTGAAATGTGTATTATTATTATTAATAATCATACTATTACTGTTTCTAGTATTATTGTATGTGTACATTTTATTGCAGCAAATATCAATAATATTAACATAAGCAGCAATTAAATGTACACATACAATCAAATGTAAACACACAATAAGAGTTTTCAGGTTAATCAACATATCTGCAACAAAGATAATTACTCTTGGGTAATTGGACTAAATCTTAGAAGAAAATAAAAAGGTTATTTATAACTGTGGAAGTGGTGTTATAGTGGTGTTATCAGGGGTTAAGATAGCGGTAGGCGCCTGCGCAGTGATGGTGGGCGCGGACCCGCCAAGCTAATATTTAACCCTCCCCAGTTCTGAGAAGCCGCAGGAAAGAGGAGAAAGCAGTTGTTGAGAAAAGATGGAGGAGACAGCTGTTGAACTTGTAACACCTATCATTACATGGATACATTTCCAGTACTCGTCCGAGGTCGTCGTCCTGACATCTATCTGCAATTTCTTTACGTGTTTTATAGGAACTTTCGGTGAGAACTGTGATTAGATAGTTATAATTTCATTCCGGACTGTAAAAGTCTAAAATTAACACATTGGCAACGACTCGCTGACACGAAGTATTCTCTTCAGGGAATGTGATGGTGATGGTGGTGATGTTGAGCTCCAAGAAGCTCCGCAGCAACCACAACACGGCCTTCATGGTCAACCTGGCGCTCTGCCTCATCCCTATATGTTGCTACACCTTACCCTTGGTGGTCGCTAAGATCATGGAAGGTCCCGCGTACACCGACAGTCTCACAGTTAAGACCATGGCGATCGTCTACGTTAGTCATGTGATACTCCATCAGGTCCACATTCTGAGCATCTGTATCATGGCTGTTAACAGGTACTGTTCTGGTATATATAACTGCTGTTGTAAGTGTCTTACAGAGACTCGTATACTTAATATATCCTTTAATCGCTTATATAACAGATGTGTTAACTTCTAACTTCAGTGCCAACACGGTTAATATTATTTGATCGTGGATACTGTTGTGGTTGTGCAGGGTCGTGGCGCTGAGGTCCCCAGTGGTCTTCAGGAGGATGCTGAGGTCGTCTGTAGTGGCTCTGCAGCTGGTGCTGATCTGGGTCTCCTCAGCCATCCTCTGGCTCCCTCTGGTAGTAAATTTCCTTCGTTCTTTAACGCAAACACACTTACGTACACACTTATGTATATATTCATACTTAAGGTACTTATATACATGATTACGATACTTGAATAAATTCTGTATATATATATATATATATATATATATATATATATATATATATATATATATATATATATATATATATATATATATTATTAAATATGACCGAAAAAGTAAGATTAATAATTCTAACACGAATTTTCTCAATCTTTCGTACATTACGCTTCACTGTTGGAGGTAAATCAAAAATCACTTCTCCAAAATTCATTTTTATTTCTAGTCTGACGCGACACGGGCGCGTTTCGTAAAACTTATTACATTTTCAAAGACTTCACAAATACACAACTGATTAGAACTTACGTATCTCTGATTTTATATCTACATTTGAGTGAGGTGGGAGGGGTGATGTGGCATTAACACAAGACAGAACAAGAGGGGATATTAATAGGGTATTAAAAGTATCAACACAAGACAGAACAGAAACAATGGGTATTGAATAGAAGTGTTTGTAGAAAGCCTATTGGTCCATATTTCTTGATGCTTCTATATTGGAGCGGAGTCTTGAGGTGGGTAGAATATAGTTGTGCAATAATTGGCTGTTGATTGCTGGTGTTGACTTCTTGATGTGTAGTGCCTCGCAAACGTCAAGCCGCCTGCTATCGCTGTATCTATCGATGATTTCTGTGTTGTTTACTAGGATTTCTCTGGCGATGGTTTGGTTATGGGAAGAGATTATATGTTCCTTAATGGAGCCCTGTTGCTTATGCATCGTTAAACGCCTAGAAAGAGATGTTGTTGTCTTGCCTATATACTGGGTTTTTTGGAGCTTACAGTCCCCAAGTGGGCATTTGAAGGCATAGACGACGTTAGTCTCTTTTAAAGCGTTCTGTTTTGTGTCTGGAGAGTTTCTCATGAGTAGGCTGGCCGTTTTTCTGGTTTTATAGTAAATCGTCAGTTGTATCCTCTGATTTTTGTCTGTAGGGATAACGTTTCTATTAACAATATCTTTCAGGACCCTTTCCTCCGTTTTATGAGCTGTGGAAAAGAAGTTCCTGTAAAATAGTCTAATAGGGGGTATAGGTGTTGTGTTAGTTGTCTCTTCAGAGGTTGCATGGCTTTTCACTTTCCTTCTTATGATGTCTTCGATGAAACCATTGGAGAAGCCGTTATTGACTAGGACCTGCCTTACCCTACAGAGTTCTTCGTCGACTTGCTTTCATTCTGAGCTGTGGCTGAGAGCACGGTCGACGTATGCGTTAACAACACTCCTCTTGTACCTGTCAGGGCAGTCGCTGTTGGCATTTAGGCACATTCCTATGTTTGTTTCCTTAGTGTAGACTGCAGTGTGGAAACCTCCGCCCTTTTCCATGACTGTTACATCTAGAAAAGGCAGCTTCCCATCCTTTTCCGTCTCGTAAGTGAAACGCAGCACGGAACTCTGCTCAAATGCCTCCTTCAGCTCCTGCAGATGTCTGACATCAGGTACCTGTGTAAAAATGTCGTCAACATACCTGCAGTATATGGCCGGTTTCAAGTTCATGTCGACTAAGACTTTTTGCTCGATGGTACCCATGTAGAAGTTTGCAAACAGGACACCTAGGGGAGAACCCATGGCGACCCCATCTACTTGCTTATACATGTGCCCATCCGGGCTCAAGAAGGGTGCCTCTTTAGTACAAGCTTGGAGTAGTTTCCTCAGAATACTTTCTGGCATGTCAAGAGGAGTACAGGCTGGATCACGATACACTCTGTCGGCTATCATTCCGATTGTCTCGTCCACAGGTACGTTGGTAAACAGCGATTCTACGTCCAACGAGGCTCTTATCCCTGTGGCCCGTGTGCCCCGCAGTAAGTCCACAAATTCCTTTGGAGACTTCAGGCTGAAGGCGCAAGGAACATAAGGAGTCAGCAGGCCGTTGAGTCGCTTCGCCAGTCTGTACGTGGGTGTGGGTATCTGGCTAATGATTGGCCGAAGTGGGTTTCCAGGCTTGTGCGTCTTGACATTTCCATACGCATATCCAGGTTTATATTCCCCAATGATCTTTTGCAGGTGGAGTCCGGATTTCTTGGCGTTCACAGTTTCGATCAGTTTGTTGACCTTTGCTTTTAATTCGGCTGTAGTGTCCTTCGTTACCCTTTGGAACTTAGTTTGGTCAGAGAGTATGATGTTCATTTTCGCCAGATATTCGTCTTTTTTAAGAATGACATATATTGGCGACTTGTCACCTCTCCTGACAACTATCTCCTTGTTCTCACGAAGGCTTTTAGCTGCCGCTTTAAGCTCGGGGGACAGTATGGTGCTTCTGTAGTTGCCTCGATTCTTTCCTCCTTCTGCAATAAGTTCTGCTTGTAAGGTATCTTTGGTGGTGACCTTCTTTTGTGTCTCGAGGTCGAATATGTCGTCCATATTCGAATATGGACGACACCGAATTAAAAGCAAAGGTCAACAAACTGATCGAAACTGTGAACGCCAAGAAATCCGGACTCCACCTGCCAAAGATCATTGGGGAATATAAACCTGGATATGCGTATGGAAATGTCAAGACGCACAAGCCTGGAAACCCACTTCGGCCAATCATTAGCCAGATACCCACACCCACGTACAGACTGGCGAAGCGACTCAACGGCCTGCTGACTCCTTATGTTCCTTGCGCCTTCAGCCTGAAGTCTCCAAAGGAATTTGTGGACTTACTGCGGGGCACACGGGCCACAGGGATAAGAGCCTCGTTGGACGTAGAATCGCTGTTTACCAACGTACCTGTGGACGAGACAATCGGAATGATAGCCGACAGAGTGTATCGTGATCCAGCCTGTACTCCTCTTGACATGCCAGAAAGTATTCTGAGGAAACTACTCCAAGCTTGTACTAAAGAGGCACCCTTCTTGAGCCCGGATGGGCACATGTATAAGCAAGTAGATGGGGTCGCCATGGGTTCTCCCCTAGGTGTCCTGTTTGCAAACTTCTACACGGGTACCATCGAGCAAAAAGTCTTAGTCGACATGAACTTGAAACCGGCCATATACTGCAGGTATGTTGACGACATTTTTACACAGGTACCTGATGTCAGACATCTGCAGGAGCTGAAGGAGGCATTTGAGCAGAGTTCCGTGCTGCGTTTCACTTACGAGACGGAAAAGGATGGGAAGCTGCCTTTTCTAGATGTAACAGTCATGGAAAAGGGCGGAGGTTTCCACACTGCAGTCTACACTAAGGAAACAAACATAGGAATGTGCCTAAATGCCAACAGCGACTGCCCTGACAGGTACAAGAGGAGTGTTGTTAACGCATACGTCGACCGTGCTCTCAGCCACAGCTCAGAATGGAAGCAAGTCGACGAAGAACTCTGTAGGGTAAGGCAGGTCCTAGTCAATAACGGCTTCTCCAATGGTTTCATCGAAGACATCATAAGAAGGAAAGTGAAAAGCCATGCAACCTCTGAAGAGACAACTAACACAACACCTATACCCCCTATTAGACTATTTTACAGGAACTTCTTTTCCACAGCTCATAAAACGGAGGAAAGGGTCCTGAAAGATATTGTTAATAGAAACGTTATCCCTACAGACAAAAATCAGAGGATACAACTGACGATTTACTATAAAACCAGAAAAACGGCCAGCCTACTCATGAGAAACTCTCCAGACACAAAACAGAACGCTTTAAAAGAGACTAACGTCGTCTATGCCTTCAAATGCCCACTTGGGGACTGTAAGCTCCAAAAAACCCAGTATATAGGCAAGACAACAACATCTCTTTCTAGGCGTTTAACGATGCATAAGCAACAGGGCTCCATTAAGGAACATATAATCTCTTCCCATAACCAAACCATCGCCAGAGAAATCCTAGTAAACAACACAGAAATCATCGATAGATACAGCGATAGCAGGCGGCTTGACGTTTGCGAGGCACTACACATCAAGAAGTCAACACCAGCAATCAACAGCCAATTATTGCACAACTATATTCTACCCACCTCAAGACTCCGCTCCAATATAGAAGCATCAAGAAATATGGACCAATAGGCTTTCTACAAACACTTCTATTCAATACCCATTGTTTCTGTTCTGTCTTGTGTTGATACTTTTAATACCCTATTAATATCCCCTCTTGTTCTGTCTTGTGTTAATGCCACATCACCCCTCCCACCTCACTCAAGTGTAGATATAAAATCAGAGATATGTAAGTTCTAATCAGTTGTGTATTTGTGAAGTCTTTGAAAATGTAATAAGTTTTACGAAACGCGCCCGTGTCGCGTCAGACTAGAAATAAAAATGAATTTTGGAGAAGTGATTTTTGATTTACCTCCAACAGTGAAGCGTAATGTACGAAAGATTGAGAAAATTCGTGTTAGAATTATTAATCTTACTTTTTCGGTCATATTTAATAATATATGTCTACAGGAAAGACTGCTACCAAAATATACTAATATATATATATATATATATATATATATATATATATATATATATATATATATATATATATATATATATATATATATATATATATATATATAATATTTACACATCCGGCACCAACCCCTATATATATATATATAATATTTACACATCCGGCACCAACCCCTGCAACAGACTCGAACTCAGAAAGAACTCAGAACTTTCTGAGTTCGAGTCTCTTTATTACACACACACATATACACTCTCAATAAATACAAGATGGTACTAAATTTTTTTTTTATTAAGTCCCGGTGAATGGAATAGTTAATTAAATAGGAATAGAATTTTCATCACTTTAAGACATATTGTGGCATACTAAATAATCTTTGAGTGTACTGAGAAATTATAAACATAATGACAAGAATTAAATAATTGTACGAATCAAACTCATTAAATTTAATTGTTATAATTAAATAAATATTTAGTATATTTAAATCTCCCAAAGTGATTTAAAGATATTTTCGCAGATTTTCATCGAAATTAATTTCGACGCATATGCTCTGACGATCAACATCGAGAACAATGTTTTGCGGAAGTTCCACATTCTAATAACCTACTTCATACCTCTAATTGCCACCATCATCTGTTACGTCTTCATCTACGTGAAGGTCAGTAGTTTACAGGTATTTAAAGATGAAAGCACAGTATAATAAAAGTGAATTGTTTCAACAGAGGTCTTGTGATGCCATATTTCCTCCTAGTATTTAGCCTCCAGAAGTTAGACTAAGCCCTGGGACTATCTCTTATACCAGGGGGTTCTTAAGCTATGGGAGTGGGGGTATACCCCTATTCTTTGAGGGTATTGTAACCAAATAATGAGGGCTTGGGACACGATCTCTGAGCAATTTAGGAAAGTTGTTAGATTAGAATTACCTGTCACCGTAACGGTGCCTCGATTCCACCTTTGTAACTCCATAAAGAGATCATCAAGAATCTCACCAGTTACCTGTAGTGTGCACTCAGGTGGTTTTTCGTTTTTGCATATATATAAAATGCTTATACTTTTCTTTCAGCTGTTCTGTTCCTAGCTTTCCGCAAGTAAAGGAAAATAAAGCTATTAACAGCTTTTGAAGACGTGTGACAATGAAGATTTTTACAGATTTGTGAAGGAAGTGTGGAAACATATTGGGCTCTGTAATCGTAAAATAAGTTAAGAATCCCTGTCTTGTACTGAAGTCCCTCGTCTCCATAATCTGTTCTCCTCCTAGCTGGCCTCCTCTCATGTCTTATGGTGACCAAACCACACATCATAAGATGAAGAAATGTTTCGGTCCATCCTGGACCATTATCAAGTGGTGTGTTTATGTCAACATCAACACACGACGTGATGATGGTCCAGGACGGACCGAAACGTCGTCGTTGTGGTCTGGTCATCATATCATCAGCCACGTTACTGTGACTCGTCTGCGTAATGTCTTCTGTTTCCGTCTGTATCTGCATTTATACTGCCTGTACTTGACGAAAATTTATTCTTATGTAAATATCTTTATACATCTATATAATGTGTTGTGTTTGGTTAATGTTGACTATTTTGATGTATTATCAGCTGCGCCAGAGAAGGACAGGCATGAGTGAACTGCAGACTAGAGAAGGGAACATGGCATCTGCCTCAGGCGAGGCGTCTGCCTCAGGCGAGGCGTCTGCCTCAGGCGAGGCGTCTGCCTCAGGCGAGGCGTCTGCCTCAGGCGAGGCGTCTGCCTCAGGCGAGGGGACTCTCTCAGCAAGCGAGGCCACCACAGCTGAGACGGTGGGATCCTGTCGCAGATGGGAAGAAGAAGCCTCCAGGAGCGTCTTCATCATCTTTATCATCTTAGTTGTGTGCAGTTTGCCACACACCATCATCCACTTCGTCTGTTATTGTGTTCAGCCAATGAGCTGTGATCAACCATTCTATGATTGTCTAGACGCCTGGCTCCTCATTCACACTCTACAATGGCTCCAATTCTGCCTGGACCCGATAGTGTTTGTTGTGGTTAGCGCGGAGTACCGCAAGGCCGTTCTTCAGTGCCTCCGGCGTTTGTCCCGAACTCTCACCTTCCGCAGTGACCAAATGAGACACCAGTAACCCAACTGGTTCATAAATACCCAGCCAAATGAGGCGAATTTACTCTCCTACCTCATTCGTCTACGGTAAGAACTAGGGTAAGGACCGGTCCATGGATGCATTCACTCCTCGACACTTATGACCCTTGAACTGTGAGAGGTCAAACTCAACCTTGCGGGGCAACTATCCTGAACAAGATACAGAAATAAGACACAATAAGGCGGCTGAAACCAACCAACACCCAGACGAAGAGGAAAGATATTGACAATGTTTTACCTTTATCAAGTCGCAACTAGGATGAGAGGGGACAGTACTAGGATGAGAGGGGACAGTACTAGGATGAGAGGGACAGAACTAGGATGAGAGGGACAGAACTAGGATGAGAGGGACAGAACTAGGATGAGAGGGACAGAGCTAGGATGAGAGGGACGGAACTAGGATGAGAGGGGACAGAACTAGGATGAGAGGGACAGAACTAGGATGAGAGGGACAGAACTAGGATGAGAGGGGACAGAACTAGTATGAGAGGGACAGAACTAGTATGAGAGGGACAGAACTAGGATGAGAGGGACAGAACTAGGATGAGAGGGACAGAACTAGTATGAGAGGGACAGAATTATGATGAGAGGGACAGAACTAGGATGAGAGGGACAGAACTAGGATGAGAGGGACAGAACTAGGATGAGAGGGACAGAACTAGGATGAGAGGGACAGAACTAGGATGAGAGGGACAGAACTAGGATGAGAGGGACAGAACTAGGATGAGAGGGACAGAACTAGTATGAGAGGGACAGAACTAGTATGAGAGGGACAGAACTAGGATGAGAGGGACAGAACTAGGATGAGAGGGACAGAACTAGGATGAGAGGGACAGAACTAGTATGAGAGGGACAGAATTATGATGAGAGGGACAGAACTAGGATGAGAGGGACAGAACTAGGATGAGAGGGACAGAACTAGGATGAGAGGGACAGAACTAGGATGAGAGGGACAGAACTAGGATGAGAGGGACAGAACTAGGATGAGAGGGACAGAACTAGGATGAGAGGGGACAGAACTAGGATGAGAGGGACAGAACTAGGATGAGAGGGGACAGAACTAGGATGAGAGGGACAGAACTAGGATGAGAGGGGACAGAACTAGGATGAGAGGGGACAGAACTAGGATGAGAGGGACAGAACTAGTATGAGAGGGACAGAACTAGGATGAGAGGGACAGAACTAGATGAGAGGGGAACTAGGATGAGAGGGACAGAACTAGGATGAGAGGGACAGAACTAGGATGAGAGGGACAGAACTAGGATGAGAGGGACAGAACTAGGATGAGAGGGACAGAACTAGGATGAGAGGGACAGAACTAGGATGAGAGAGGGGACAGAACTAGGATGAGAGGGACAGAACTAGGATGAGAGGGACAGAACTAGGATGAGAGGGACAGACTGAGAGAGGGACAGAACTAGGATGAGAGGGACAGAACTAGGATGAGAGGGACAGAACTAGGATGAGAGGGACAGAACTAGACAGATGAGAGAACTAGGGGACAGAACTAGGATGAGAGGGACAGAACTAGGATGAGAGGGACAGAACTAGGATGAGAGGGACAGAACTAGGATGAGAGGGACAGAATGAGAGAGGGACAGAACTAGGATGAGAGGGGACAGAACTAGGATGAGAGGGACAGAACTAGGATGAGAGGGACAGAACTAGGATGAGAGGGACAGAACTAGGATGAGAGGGGACAGAACTAGGATGAGAGGGACAGAATAGGACAGAACTAGGAGAGGGGACAGAACTAGGATGAGAGGGACAGAACTAGGATGAGAGGGGACAGAACTAGGATGAGAGGGACAGAACTAGGAGGAGAGGGGACAGAACTAGGATGAGAGGGGACAGAACTAGGATGAGAGGGACAGAACTAGTATGAGAGGGACAGAACTAGGATGAGAGGGACAGAACTAGGATGAGAGGGGACAGAACTAGGATGAGAGGGGACAGAACTAGGATGAGAGGGACAGAACTAGGATGAGAGGGACACTAGGATGAGAGGGGACAGAACTAGGATGAGAGGGACAGAACTAGGAGGAGAGGGGACAGAACTAGGATGAGAGGGGACAGAACTAGGATGAGAGGGACAGAACTAGTATGAGAGGGACAGAACTAGGATGAGAGGGACAGAACTAGGATGAGAGGGACAGAACTAGTATGAGAGGGACAGAATTATGATGAGAGGGACAGAACTAGGATGAGAGGGACAGAACTAGGATGAGAGGGACAGAACTAGGATGAGAGGGACAGAAAGAGTTACTCAAGATTTTGTGAAATGTAAAATGTCTTGAAGATCGTGCATAAGTTTGTATAAAAACACAACAACTCCAGAACTTAGACCATTATGCTATCTACTCGAGGTCTTTCTCAGAGTACGAGTGATTTATATTAATTAATCAAAGGCATATTTCATGAATAAAAATTATGATTAATTTATACCTTGCTAACCACTAGCCCTACCACTTGGGCTGGATGGTAGAGCGACGGTTTCACTTCATGCAGGTCGGCGTTCAATCCCAGACCGTCCAAGTGGTTGGGTACCATTCCTTTCCCCCGTCCCATCCCAAATCCTAATCCTGACCCGTTCCAAGTGCTATATAGTCGTAGTTGCTTGGCGCTTTCTCAATGATAATTCATTCATTCCTTCCTTCCTTGCTAATCACTACCCAGTCTTGATAAGGCCGGTTGTATTGCTGATAATAAACCCGTGTTGTATTTGCTGTATTAAAATTGTATCTATTTTAAAATGTGTTTTTGAGTGATTATAAATATGTTCATATTTAGCATAGAATTAATTACATCATAATTAATATGTAAAACCTTTTCTCTTAAAATACAAATTAATATTTCGTGAAGCCAAATCACAAATCACAAACCACAAATTCACGAAAAGCCATTTCGTGAAGTCAAATCAAAGCAAATCACAAATTTCGTGAAGCCAGAGCAACACACATACGAACAACACATTCGAATTCTATTGTTTTGTGTTGAAATTCCTTTGTGTATCAGTGTGATTGTACTCTAGGGAACAATTGCTTAAGCTGATGCATTGTAATAAACTGTGTATTGTTTGGGTTTGGTGTTGGGCTTAAGGCCTATCAACCTCTGGTGGGTTATTAAGGCCTATCAACCTCTGGTGGGTTATTAAGGCCTAGCAACCTCTGGTGGGTTATTAAGGCCTATCAACTTATGATGGGTTATTAAGGCCTATCAACCTATGGCGGATTATTAAGGCCTATCAATCTATGGTGGTTATTAAGTCCTATCAATCTATGGTGGGTTATTAAGGCCTATCAACCTCTGGCGGATTATTAAGGCCTATCAATCTATGGTGGGTCATTAAGGACTATAAAATTCTGAAGGGCGATTAAGGTAATTACAAGAACTTACTAACCAAACCAGCAAGTATGCCTTAGTCCCGATCACACTTAGTATGACACTGAAGTAAACTCTGTGTCCATACACAGAAAATTCGGGTATACCTCTCGGTCAAAACCCGAGAGGTATACCTTATACCGCTACACAACTATACACCTTGGTCGTGTATTCTTTTTAGGATGATTAAAAGTTATGTAATACCCTGTCAAGGGGACCGGGTATTCTTGCCTTGTATGAGTTTACCTGGTATCCGTATACCTTAAGAGGCTCCCAATAGAAATAAAAGCGCTTGGCCCACACACACAGACGAAGATAACATCTTAAATTATTAAACCAACATGAAGATGAGAGCAAAAAAGATCTTTTGTAGTGTGTTACTTTTATGCAGGAAAATGATACGTGGACGCCAACAAAAGGGAGAGTAAGCTTATATGGATGTACAAATTCCCGCCAAAAAGTAATTAGATATTCCTGGTATATATATATATATATATATATATATATATATATATATATATATATATATATATATATATATATATATATGTCGTACCTAATAGCCAGAACGCACTTCTCAGCCTACTATTCAAGGCCCGATTTGCCTAATAAGCCAAGTTTTCATGAATTAATGTTTTTTCGTCTACCTAACCTACCTAACCTAACCTAACCTAGCTTTTTTTGGCTACCTAACCTAACCTTACCTATAAATATAGGTTAGGTTAGGTTAGGTAGGGTTGGTTAGGTTCGGTCATATATCTACGTTAATTTTAACTCCAATAAAAAAAAATTGACCTCATACATAGAGAAATGGGTAGCTTTATCATTTCATAAGAAAAAAATTATAGGAAATATATTAATTC